CGGCACCCACGCAAAGCTTTAGTAAGGATCTTATCTGCTAGCGGTGGCCCATCCTGGTCCCTTCCTGGCGCGCGAGCGGACACTTCTACCATTGCCGTCCTGGGCATTTGTGACCGTTACTACAATCACAGCCTGCCGGACCAGGAGCATTTCCTGCACTCTGGCACCTGGGGTATAATTTCACGCAGGTCTGTCTGGGTTAGCGACCCCAAAATATATTTCCACACTCGGCACACCGCTTCCAGTAGACCTCTACTGGTCACGTGCCACCTACTCCAGCCTACTAGCGGACCTCAGCTGACGTTCAGCGAGAAAACGAATCCCCGGTGGTGGACGTCGGAAACTCACCCCAGCGGACGCGATCACACGCGTAGCCGAGGAGCAGCCCGGCCGAGAGACGGTGACCACGCAAACGCGACCCGTCCGGCTACCGCCGCCACCGCCAGTGATGCCCTCCACTGCTCCCGGCGACATTCTCCCTCCTCCCACGAACTCGGCCGCACGGAGACCACGTCTCCAGACACGCGCGCTCTCGCGCTCCCTCACGCTCGCTCGCTCGCTCGCCGCAGACACCCGCGTGCACGCACTCGCCCGACGGCTCGCTCTCCGAGCCCACGCACGCTGACGCGCACTCTCCACGCGTCCACGTTTCACGTGCACGTGGGCGCGCTCGCCGCTCGCTCTCCGCGCACACGCTCCATGCAAGCGCACGCACGCGCACACGCATGCATCCGCGCACACGCTCAAGAGCACCGGACACGACGATCACAGCCGATTTGTTTCCCGGTGTCCGTAACGCTCGCTCACCGTCACGCCTCACGACCGCTCCGCCTCCTCTCCCAAAATCCTCCGCCGCCTTCTGCCCTGGACTCCCGTCCTCCCCTCCGGCATCATCCCCTCGCCCCTCGTCGCCAGCACCTCCCCACCTCCCCCAAAGGCGCTCCCCCCACCACTACACCCTCCGCTCTCCTCTCCCGCCGCCCCCACCCCCCCCCCCCCAACCAACACCCTCCCCCACTCCCAGCCCCCTCTCTCAGCTCCATCATCCCTGCATCCGTTGCCAGGGCGATGCTCTGGTTGCCGTGACATTTTTTGCGGAACGTAGCGTTCCAGGAGGGGCTGCCCCCCGTTACGGCGCCCCCCCCCACCGCCCCCCAGAACAGCTCGTTAAGCAGCCATAATTAACGGGTGACACTCACTGATTTTCGCCGCTAGAATCTCAGCGGCTGATCCTGCGAGGATGCCGATGCCAGCAGGCGAGGCTGCCGCTGCCGCTGTCACTGCAGTAGCGGCCGCTGTCGCTGCTGCTGCGGTAGCGGAGCGGAGTGTCTTGCAAGCGCGCGCCAGCGTGGAGGGATGTCGTGACTATTATTTTTTTACAGTGACGTTTAAACCTCTGCGCGCTATAAATAAACCGCTTCCTTCTCCAGGGGAGTGAGGTGTTGTTAAGTGCCACGAATGTCGACCCAATTCGTTCTTTCACTTCACCTTAGGCCAATCACCTCGTGTGCGCACAAGTACAATTACAGTCCTGCGTGGACTTGTGCAGCTGGTGTGGGTGTGCAAGTGGCTGGCAGGGTGGCACGGTGGCACGGTGGCACGGTGGCACGGTGGCAGGGTGGCGCAGTGGTGACACTCCTCGTGTCTCACAACAAGAAGGGCCCTGGGTTCGATTCCCGACTCGGGAGCATTGCTGCGTGGCGTTGCTATATTCTCTCTCTCTCTCTCTCCCTGTTCTGATTTTTTAAAAAGACAACATACAGTGTAACCTATATTGGCGAAACATCCCGATGCTGAAAAATGTACCTGCAAACTACTCAACTGGGGAAAAAAATAAGAATAGGCTTTACCCTAAAAGGTGTTAAGATGCTCCAAGACGAACTAAATAAACTATTACAAGGCATCAAGTCTGCATTAACCACACATACTTGTGGCAAAAGATGCAAACAGACATGCTCTGATTATAAAATATGCACCACCTTTGAAACTGATTGGCCTACACCAATCAAAACATGTACCGATGTGGTGTTTGAGCACCTTAACGCCTCCTGTGTTTATTGCCAGAAAGGCTTGCGCCAATCCAATTTTTTCCACTCTCGTCATTTTGATCCTGGCAATGGCAAAAAGGTCTCACAGGTAGTCAATTGGGACCACTCGCAGCAGCAGCAGCATCGTGCTACATTTGGGATCGTTTTCACCGCGGGGCATCTTCGGGTGAGAGTCGCATTACCCCACGTGGGGAGCCACCAGCACGCGTCTGTTTTGTGTTTTCTTAAATGCATTTGTTTAAGACGACATTACACCGCAGCTTGCGTGGCGTATGTCTGGATGCACGTATTTTCTTTACCGAAAGACCCAAAGATTATGAATACCTGCAGGCACGAAAGCTTTAGGTCAAGATGTATGCACGTATGTTGAACTTCTCTCGCGCCGTACGTGGCTAATCGTGCTGATCGGAGGTGCGGAGGAAGGACGACTAAACACAAAGAGCAGTTCTAAAGAAATTAGTTTGTCAATCTAGATGATTTTAAAGTACACAGCTCCAGTGGCTTCCTAATATCAGAGGGAAGAGCGTTGCAGACGGCCGCAGAAGCGCATCTGAAAGCTCGCGATGCGGTGACCGCCTTTGTTCGCGGACTAGCTGAAAGCCGCTTGCGAGGATGACCGGAGTTCGCATGGCAGTAACACTCGTGCCGCGCAGCAAGAGTGCCCCTGAGTTCGGTCTCCGACTCGCTGTATTAACCGGGGGTCAACCAGATGTGCTGGTGACATGGACTGCCAGATTCAGGCGCCTTTCCTGTGTCAAAAATTGGGCCCTGGAGCAACCGCTTCCCCATGTGACCAGGTCCCACTGCCCTCTGCCACCCCCCCCGCCCCCCCTGTGCTGCCCACATTCCCATGTCACATGGAGGCGGGTTTCCCATGAACCCTGACCCCTCGCGGGAGGCGGTGCCGGGGGGCGAGGCGCTCGTCCGTCGCCTGTCCCAGCGTCTCCCCATGGCAGCGACAACTCCCCCCAGCTGAGGAGGAAGAAACCCTGCTGGCACTGAGCGGCAGGTGGGACAGCGGTCAGCAGAGGAGACGGCACTTTTACTGGCCCTCGTCGACTGGCGGTGATGATACGCGCGTAGCCGCTGCCACACACGTACACAGATGAAGATCCCCCCCCTCCCCTTGCTGTAGCCTATGGAGGCTGTTGGCCATGAGCATTGACTGCTTATGTGAGGCTTCATCGAGCTAAAGGAGGCCCAGAAAACGTACACAAGACAAAGATCTCGACTTGAAGCTTTCGTGACTGCAGGAATTCATATAATTTGGATCTTTCGGCAAAGTCACGTAGATAGGTTCAAAGAAGATAACAAAAAATAACAAAAAACTACCCCTTCATCTTCCTGATGACGAACTCTTGTGTTGCGATCGAAACATCAAACAGTTTACCTTTAGAAGCTAACCCCCTCTTCCACAGCACTTGCCCTGTCAGCGTGTGTGGGCTACATGGAGGACATACTCTTTGGTTCTATTCGGTAAAGTCACCTTTGTGCTCGTGCAAAGTGTGTCCCACGCGGCATGGACACCGCCGATTATAACCAAGGCCCCGTCAATGTGAACTGGTGCCCCTGCGCGTCACATGGGAAGTGTTGAGAAACCAGATTGGCCGTGGGGTGTTATGAGAAATGTGATTCTGCACCTATACGGACCAGTCATCGTGACAGCGGCAATACCTTACCACCATGAAAGCATCATGATGACGCTAGGGACAGCTCATAGTCACAGCAGGAACAGCTCATCGTCACGCCTCGTAATTTCGGTGACGACGTCGCACGACTGGACTCGACGTCGTACCGGGAGGCCCCGTGACCACCCGGCATGTGAGGCCCCCCAGGGCCCAGGAGGCACCAAGGGGGCCGACTCGCGAGGCCTCTGCCGCGGAGGAGCGAATGTGCCGACGGCGGCGCCGGTCACGGCCCTTTCACCTTTCATGAAAAACAACAACAACAACAAAATGGAGAAACAAAAACCGACCGAGCAGGGGGGGTTTGGGGGGGGGGGCGGAGTAAAGGGAGGGGGACGTCGCATCGTTTGCATGTGAATGCGCGAGCGTGCGCGTGAGTTGGCGTGCGTGAGCGTTCGTTCAATAGACCGGGGCTCCCCCCCCCGCTCCCACAAAGGGGGGCGCGAGCAGGCGAGACAATCGACGAGTACCTCCCCCCCCCCCGCCCCAACGCGGCGTTTCTCGAGAGCAGCTGGGGAATGTGGCGACGTGAACCACCCTCCGAGCAATCGCGCGTCACACCGGGTCACACTGCGTCACGCCATCGCACGGCGCTGCGGGAGCCGTGATGGAGCAGGGCGCAAAGCACCGTCGCTGCTCGTTGCAGGAGATCCGCAGTCCGAAATCTCGCAGTCGTTCCCCCCCCCCCCCCCCCCACGTCTAATACAGCGGTGTGAGGATCAACCTTAAAATTACTCCACGCCACCTGCGCCACCGTGGACGCAAAAATATTCCGTCAGCGTCATTCGTGGAAGAAGAGGTCGTTGTGTGCTGGTGACGTAGCTTCAAATTTGCCAAAATTGTGAGTATTTCACCGCACATTACTCGAGTGGGAAATACAGAGCAACATCGACGCCTACTCCGGAAAGAGTCTCGAGACTCGGCAAGGCCCACTGGGTAAGCAGGAGCAATAGCACACCGTGCATTGTAATGCGACTGTTAATAATGATGCCATGCCATCAACACCATCCAACACCACTCCACACCATGCCCACGCCATGCCACGAAACAAACGCACCATGCCCCGCCAAGCGCCATGCAACGCCACGCAGCGCCACATCGGACAGAAACATCACATACCGCACGCCACCCCCACAGCGAATCACCGCACAGCCACCCAATACTCGCCAGACACCGCACGGCGACACCAGGAAGCACTCCGGCAGCCCAACTCGACCCAACTCCACCCAACCACCACGCCAAGCCACCCGGAACGATTCCCAGTTACCTGGTGCGTGTGGGAGGTACGGAGCAAGCAACTTGGCTCTCTTCTTCTCATAGCCCTTCTGTGTGATGTCCCCTGCAATGATCACGCACAACAGGCGGACACACACACACACACACGCGTGTTCGCACGCATACGCACACGCGCAGATGCACACGCGCACGCCTACACACACCTACCCTGTTATAGCCTGGCCACACTCCTGGAACAAGTATTGACAGCGAGTACTTAACGTTCCAAATTCCACTGACGCGCAAATCCGCGAAAATCATGAAAGCAAACCCCGCGATATTCAATGTGCGTGCTTGCCACGTGAGACTTCCTGACTTGACCAGGCGAGCAGCAATAAACACTGCACTGAGAGAAGTAACCGCTCGGGGAACACCGCCTCACTGCCGTCTGCGAGTCGCAAAGCGAGCAACGCTTTAGCGAACAGCAAGAGGATGCGAAGACGGTGCTTGTTTGGACAAGGTTGCAGTACGAGAGAGTGGGGACTGCAATCCATTCGTTGATCCCTCCGGCCCGTCAAGACTGCACTAACGAGACAACTAAGGGGGCCGTCCATAAATGCCGTCACGCGATTTTGAACGATTTTTAATCCCTCCCCCCTGTCACACGGCGTCACAAAAAGTCAGACCTCCTCTCAAATATGACGTCACAAAGCTCTGCCCCCCCCCCCAAAAAAACCAAATCGCTTTAAACTATTGTGTTTGTAGTGCGTATTTAATGTGGCGCTGCACTCTGATGTTGCAGGAGAGAACATTTCTTTTAAAGTCTATTTAATTAAGTAGAACGTGCTGTCTATATTTATTTAAAGTTGCGCATTTTGATGTGACGTCACATTTCTCAAACCCCCCCCCCCCCTCGTCACACATCGTCACAAATGTCTGACCCCCCCCCCTCCCCCCACTAGGTGCATGACGTCATTTATGGACGGCCCCTAACCCCATCCCGTCTCGAGACTTTAAGAGCACCGATATATTTACATGGCAATCAATGTTGAATTATTTGATGGCCCACTCAGTTCAAGCGGTTTCTCACGCGATCACACCTGTTAGCAAGCCACGTCGAGCAATTCGAACCGCTGGAGAGAGTGACGCCACCTCACGTGCAACCAACAGGTCCAAAGCATGCCGGGCTGGAGGGCTCATCTTGAAGCTCCCCTTGTCGGCCAACCGAAGCGAAAGGCGGTGGGCGCTTCACCGCAGACGCCGCTCGTAACAACTTCCCCCCGCCACCCCCCCCTCCCTCCCTCCAATTAGCGCTCATTAATGCTGCCAATCACGGGCAATTCATCATCTCTGCGTGATGCTCTGCCCCGTGTCTGGCCATCTGCTCCCGTTGAGTGCCACCGGGAGGGCCTCGGAGGTCCGTCCTTGCGCACCAGCGTTCTGGCCATCGCGGCGCTGCAACCGCTCAACGCCCGGCGCACCACGTCCAGTATGCGCAGCCTCTCGCCGTATGGCCCCTGGCTGCTCAATCGTCAGGCGGCACCTGCCCGCGGTCGACCCGGCGACCCGGGCGAATAATGTCGACCCGTCGCGAGAGGGAACGCGGCGCCTCTGGTTGCTCGCTGTCTCGGTGGGCGGGCGGGATGGGCAGGCCGTCAACGGCAAGTTTCAACTTTTGTTTGGGACGCCTCGCCGCTCAGAGTTGGCAGCCGGGCGAGGATATTCCCCGAGGGATTTGCGATTATTTTTGTCCGAGCGGTTTAATTTTGGGGAACGCTTATCGCCGTCTCGGTGAGCGGGTTGAAGGCGTCCGTGGTCGCTCTCGCCAATAAACGACGCGAGGCATCTGGCAGCTGTCGCCTCCTCGTACACAAAGGCAAAGATCCCCCCCCGTGTAGCCTCAACAGGCTGGAGGGGCAAGTGCTGCTGGGGAGCACCTACATGAAAGCCGCAACGGCGCACGAGGGGGTGGGTGGCCAACATCACGCCCGACCGCCTTTGTCTCCCCCGTGGCTATGTTTACTACACACCGCACCAGGTTACTCATTTTGAGGCTGAGTCGACCTAGGGGAGGCCCCGGAACCGGTTCAAATAATCGTCACCGTTGGTGTTGGCCGTTGAGCGGGAGTCGAACCCGGGGTGGCCAGGTTTGTAGCGCTAACACTAGCGTTCCCCACATGTACACACACACACAAACACACAGCACTATATATATAACATGCACATACAAAGAGCCCCCGTGTCGCCTCGAACAGGCTGTTGGAGCAGGTGCTGTTTGTGAGTACAGTACTTATGAAGGCTGCCACAGCACACGAGGGGATCGGTGGCCAACAGCAAGACCGACCCGCCTTTGTCTCCCCACTGTTGATGCTTACACACCACACCAGGTACTTATTTAAGGCTCAGCCAACCTAGGCGAGGCCCTGGATTACTTAAAATATTTTGCCACTCTTGTTGGCCGTGAGCAGGAATTAAACTTGGGTCTTCGCTACCGCTCCTCCACAAATAACAAGAGCCGCCATTCGCCACTAAGTGACGGTGACGTCCCACGGTGACTGTGCCAGGCCACGTGCACATTGAGGCCACGTGAAGTGTCGAAGGCTCGCTGACCGGAGGAGGTCTCGGGACAGACCCAGCAGGTGCAATGGTTTGACCGACTGAGATGACTGGCAGATGCACCAGCTGTACCCCCTACTGTGCTAACTCGCTGTACTTTATCCGCCAGGCGCTCCGTTCATTGTTGTGAGCGTCGCTCCTCTGCCCTCAGGTGTTGCTGGAGGGTGACTGCCTCCAACTGCCCAGTAGCAGCGTCCTTCACGAGCCTCTTCCACAGAGGCCGATCTTGACACCGCTGGCACCAGTCATCGGCAAGTCCACTCAGCTCCACGTCCTCACGTACCGCATCAGTCCATCTCCAGCCCATATCATGCTCGTTTCAGCCTCTCTATGCGGCCAACAGAAGCTGCTTTGGCATGCGGTGGCTGGGCATGCAGGCTACATGACCCATCCAACGCAGCCTTGCCTACCAAAGGCGTTCACTGATGGGAATGTGTCCAGATCTTTCAAGGATTTGTGAGCTCCTCACACAATCCAGCCTGGTTAAACCCAGGAAGGATCATAGCCAGGCCAGCCTGAATGTTTCCAACCAGCGCAGATGTTCCACCAGAGGGGCCCACGTTTCACAGGCATAGAGAAGGGAGGTCATGACTTTGGCCGAGAAGACCCGAAGCTTCGTGTTGAGCGACAGACAGGATAGCTTCCACGCAGCATTACGCAGCCGATGAAAACATCACGCCGCTCGACTGATTCGGAGTGAGACCTCTGCTGTCAAACCGGAGCACATACACGCAGACACACACAAGTGAGTGCGCGCGGTGTAGGGCTTCATTTATGGTCGACTGTGAGTGCGAACATAACCATGGGGACCCGCAGCCAACGAAAGAGGCACACTGGGTGTCGCGTGCAGGGTTTCTGAAATACTTCCGGGATCACTGATCCGGGCAGACCCAGGTGACACGAATCCCCGGTAACGCTTGGAAAACACACCACGTACAAATGGCACGCGCATACACACACACATATCAAAGACAAAGATTTCCCCATATAGCCTTAAACAGGACTGCTGGAGCAAATGCTGTTAGCGAGCACCTATGAAGGTCGGCACGGCACACGAGGGGGTGGGTGGCCAATACCACGCCCGGCTGCCTTTGTCTCCCCAGTGGCTATGTTTACATTTTGCACCAGGTACTCATTTGAGGCTGAGTGGACCTACCTATGGGGAGGCCAAAGACCGGTTCAGATAATCGTCACAGGTCTACACTACCGATCCCCAGACTTACATCACACACACACACGTGCTGTGTCTACACGGCTTATAGCAAACACAGCAATGCAATAAACATAGACATAGGCACAATGTAACACAGCAACAACAGCAGCTGCCATTCCCCATTATATGATGGTGACATCACCCAAGGGCTTGTAAAAACTATTAACTATGTTTTACTTTGACAGGTAAGGCCCACTGAGCTATGTAGCTCTTTTTCAGAAGCAACATGGCCACAAATGATAGCTCAACGAAGTGGCTTATCAAGTGGAAATATATAGCATCCAAATACTCTAAACGCGTGATGTTGATTCTAAATCTAGAGGGGAAAACCGGAGGACCCAGAGAAAAATCCACGCGACCACGGGAAGCGAGAGAGAGAGAGACACACAAACAATATACAGCAGGCGTCAAGAGAATCAGGATCAAACCCACGACCTCATGTAAACCAGGCGAGGTATTTAATACCTTGCCACCATGGCACTTGTGCCAGGCTAGGTACACTTTGAGATCACAAACTATTGACGGCTCTTCAAGTGGCCTCACACACACACACACACTTATATTCTTGGTTCTTTCGGTAAAGTCACGTTGAAGGGAAACAATAAAATAATAAAATATATATAAAACAATAAAATTCTCACGACGTTTCGACTGCAACACAAGCAGTCATCATCAGGTGTGAAAACCAACGGCAAGAACATTTGAAAGAAGTGGCGGTTCGTATTTATTTATTTATTTTAAACGCTAGCACCACGGATAGCGATTTGACAGTTTGTTTAGATGGACGAGTCCATCTATTTTGATTTAAAGCTTTCGTGACTGCAGTAATTCTTATTCTTGGTTCTTTCGGTAAAGTCACGTTGAAGGGAAACAAAATAATAAAATATATTTAAATGAGTCCATCTATTACTTTTTTTTTTATTGTTTTATATATATTTTGTTATTTTGTTGTTTCTCTTCAACGTGACTTTACCGAAAAAACTAAGAATATGAGTCCATCTATGTTCGGAAAAGAGGAGGGGGGAGACGAAAAAATTAATGTATGCTGTCTGAAAGCCACCGTAAGCGTGAACAATCAATTAAGACCCGAAATGGTTTATCAAATCCTTCCAATGATTGCTAAGCCAGAATCCATCTTCTCGGTTGAAATTGTCTGTGTTTGTATATGTGGATAGCCTCATGAACGAATCTCTCATGGTAGCCAGATGGCTTTCAAAGAACCTCTGTCTTGGAGAAGTCAATGTCATGTGAGCCTACTGAATTATAACAGTGATCTGCCACGGCCGAGGTGTTGG